AATCGGCGGAGCCATCGCCGGACGCATAGAGGACATGCGGCTTTGCTCATCCTCTGTCCTCCTACGTTTGGTCTCGCCCGACGGCTGCATGGTAGCAGACTTCGGTGCTGTCGGTCGGTGGTTGGCCTCGTCATCAAGCCCTCTCTTGGGCGGTTTAGCGGGGTTGGGTTGGGGCTGGTTAATTGACCGATTGAACGGCTGAATCGAGCCCAGTCGTGAGGCTGGTCTAGCTGCACCAAGCTCGCTGCGTTGGCTTGCCTCAGGCTGCTGGCTTCCCTGTCGCTCTAGTCTGCGCTGATTCTCCAAGCGGCGTTTTTCAATGGCTTGCATGTGGGCGGCCTTCTTTGGATCCTCGGCAGCAAGTCGCTCCCGGCGCTCAGCCTCCGCCCGACTGCGCATCTCCTGACGACGAGCTTCTTCTTGCTGCTGAGCTGCACGCTTCCGTTCCAATTCGCGTCTCTGCTCCTCCCGGCGTCTTGCTTCGCGCTCCTCTTGCTCTCTCTTCCTCTCACTTGCAAGCTGGGCTTTTCTCTGCGACTGACTGGATATAGAGCTCTTGAAACTGCTGTTAGAAGAGGCTGTGTGTAATGAGGTATTGCTAGCCTTCTTCTTCAGAGTCGACGGTTTGGAAGCCGAGACTGGAGTTGGTGCAGGGACGCTAGACTCTCGCGTGTTGGAAGACACTTGCGACGCTAGCGGCATTTGCCGGGAGAGTGCGCTGCCTACGCGAATTGACACGGGCTGAGGCTTCGGTTTCTGGACCTCGCGAGCCGGCTTGAGAGGGCGGCGTTCATTTTGCTTTGATGACTGCTGCTGTGAGACGGAACTTGGTGCGGCAATTCTGGGACCGGCTTCGATGCTAGACTCTGGTTCCTTGGATGGTTTGTGTAGATGCGATGTCTTTTGCGTCGGCAAAACGGTAGCTGACTCGGTGGTTGGCGCACGAGCTTCAGGGTCAGCGGCCGGCTTCTCCTGTGGCGCCTTGAGTTTCGTGGCTCTCTGTTTCTCCAATTGCCGGGCTCTCTCCGCCTGCTCCTCTTCCCTCTGGCGGTCTTCAAGCTCCTTCTGTCTGCGCTTCTCTTCCCTTTCGGTGGAGCTGCGCGTCCGGCGGCCTTCTTGGCGTGGAGGGCTCGGAGGCTGTGTCGACTGCGGCCGCCGGCTTTCCCTATTACGATCTGTGTCCAATCGTCCTGTATGCCTCAATCTCGGTTGGTCCGGGGAAGCAGATTCGACTCTGGCGGCAGCTGTAACCCCCCCAGTATTCATGAAAAGGCCCTTAGCGGATTGCACGATAGACTGAAGCCGTGATTTGGATGCACTTATCGGACCATCATAGCGCTCGGCCGGTGAGCCAACCGGAGTCGTCGACATCTGGTTATCGATATTTGCAGACGCGCTCTTCTGATGGCCAGGTCGCTGTGGCGATGAGTAGGACGGCGTTGATGACTTTCCCCGAGCTGCATCTGAGGCGTGCTTAGAGCTAGTTCTCGGCACCTCCGGGGGATGGACATCTCGTTCCCTATCAACGGAAGGGCGGTCTTCCTCGGCAGCTCGGGCTATCCGAGCACTGGAATGTTTACCCAAGCTATCAGCTTTCTGGCTAGCACGTATATCTGGCCGGTAGGGCGAATCCAGTGGCTTGATCCAGTCGTCATCAGCGGCAGAGTCAGGGGCCGGGGTCTCGCGAGACTTCAAGCCGTATGGCTCCTGCTTAGCTTCGGATTTGGCAGTGGGAAGTTCAGGGTATGTCACCTGCGCAGTCGACAGGCCAGGGACGGAAGGAATGGACTTGGTAGGTCGAGAAGGCTGAAGTTTGCCGAGCATGCTGATTTTCTCGTGCAGGAGTTGAGTCGATGACTTGTTGTGAAGCTTGCTGGCTCTAGTCTCGGCATCTCTATCTTCCTCTGTGACATCTTTCTTGTCATCTATATCCATCTTGTCGCCATGGATATTGCTGTCCTCCGCAACATGCTGGGTCGTCCTATGCCCACCGGTCTGTCTGCCAAGATAACCCCCGGCGCTACCAAGCTTGTTGATGTCGAGATGGCTAGTGCGGGAAATTCTCGAGCCTCCCAGGCTCTTCTTCGTCAGGGGTTCGCGAGCTGGGAGTGATGCAAAAGTGAGACTGCTCTTGCGAATCGGCGGGCGTACTGGAGATCCTTCCGAAGGTGAGCCCATTTCATCGAGACTATCGAGGGCCATGTCGTCATTTGCGTCATCTTGGTCGTCCTGATGATGTTCGCGGGGTTGCGAAGTTGCATTTGTTGGCGGGCTCGATTTTGTATCCTTAAGCGGACTAGATACTGGCTTTGGTGCGGCTTTCTCCGTGGGCGGGGATTCGCGTCTGGGCGTGGCTTCGGGTTCTTCTTCGGGTTCGGGTTCTTGATGGGCCTGAGCGTTTGGTTTTGCCTCTGGTTCCGGCGCATGTTCAGGTTCCAGCTCAACAATGCCCTTACGCGCAGGCCCCGGTTCCGGCTCTTGTTCCGAGTCCACGTGTGACATGATTTTGTCTTCAGGCTCCTCCTCAGGTTGCGGTTGTGCTTCATCAACATTCTCTGTATCCTTCGTCGGTGACTTTTGCTTCTGAGGACTGGTGCTAACATTCCGCTTAGGCGATGATTCAGTTACCTCAGGCTCAACTGTTTCTTCGCGTTGGTGGACATCCTCGCGAGCGGAGTGGAAAGACGCCCCTGTAGTACGGCGTTCTTCATGCGGTTGGGGGAGTTGCTCTTCGGCAGCACCAGGTTCTTGATCCATGGGCTGAGTAGAGGACTGCGACTCGGGCTGCACTTGTGTAAGGACCATATCATCTTCTTCCTCTTCTTCGTCCCTCTCGTCTTCCGGCATGCCGTGATAGCCCGAGTCCGTGTTGTATTGCGGGAAGGAGTTGAGGTTCTGGGTCAGATCTGGGTACTCGGGTTGTGATGTGTCCTCCGTGGTCTTCTTGGCTTCCGTCGCAGTAGCTGGGCCTGCAGCCGCAGTGACGGGCTTGGTTGGTGAGCGCTGAACAGCCGGACTAGCACTGAATTTATTCTCCGTCTTGCTATTGTTGTTTGCGGATGAGAAGATCTCGCTCAGGGGCTGGGAGCAGTACGTTAGCAGATATCAGGTGCGCAGAAAGTAGCTGGTATAACGCACCACTCGAGATTCGTTCGCATCCCGCTTCCGCACTGTACGAGGCGTTTTACCTCGTAGCTTTCCCGGGGTTTTGAAGACATCTGCGAAATTGCTATACAACAGTAAGCGTCAACAACTATGCGTCAAGCCTGTAGACTGGCGCGACCCACGATTGATTGTTGGAGAAAACCTCGGCCATATGTTCATTCAGCCAATCCATCTCATGGCGCACTGGGTATTCAATCTCCTCCATTTCCTGATCCACCAGCTGCATAAAATTTTCCTTTTCGGTTGAGATCCACGCTGCAGAGCCTACAGGCTTCTGCGCCCTCGCGCCTGCCGCGGCCATGGCGACGTAAACAAAGCGATCGCACAGCGGGTTGACTGAGTACTGTGAAAGGGGCGTAAATGATCAAAGGGCACGGGAGCCCGGTCTAAAATATAGCGAGAGACAACGATGGGAACATCGAATAGTGGTGGAGAGGCGATAAGAGTTGACGGTCGACTGATGAGCTGAAATGGCCTGTCGTCGGGAGTCGAGCATCAAAACATCGGCAAACGCGTGAGTCCCGCCATGGCACGTGACGGTGCATCATACTTAGTGCCTGATATCGAAGGCATTCACGTCCTGGTTTAGGCAGGAGAGGAAATCAATCATACAACAGACACAATTATCACTCATGGTAGTTGCAATGCGGAGTAGCTGCAAATAAACCCTGAGGCGTTTCTCTGGCCATTTTGACTTTTCTGGCTTGATTCTACGGTGTATCTATCTATTTTTCCACTCCCCTTTCGATAAGCATCGCTAGTCCCGCCCTATTGAACCATGTTGGTACCGCTCATTCGAGAGCTCTCCTTAGACCAGGAACTGACGCGGGCGGAGTGTTTCTTCATTTAACAAGTGATGGTCCCTTGCTATGCTCATGGGACTCACATGAGGATCACTGCACCGCCAGCTGTCCCTGTGCACAGTGCACAGATCTAGACTATCCACCAGCCTCCAATATGTACCATACCGGACCGGGCAGTTTCACAATCGCGAGGTGACGGAGGAACCAGTCAATGTGCCAGGATAAAGAGGAGAGATGGCGTTCTTTTCCATCGGTCTTTGGAACCATTATCCAACGTTGACCACTTTATGACCCGGTCATGACATCATCTCAGAGTGCAAAGGGTAGCCGTACAGAGAGTTCGTTAATCCATTCTTGAACTCGGTAACAGAACAGCAAATAGCCAGAAGCTCGCTCGAAAGATCCGATGGGAAAGTCCGGGGCGTTACTCAAACATCGAGTGAGTTGGGAACTTTGCAGGTTTTCTGCATGGGAAAGGCAGAGGATCCCGGATGAGGGAAGAGAACCAAAGGCCCATAGCTGGGATGGGTGATGGAATGGTCCGAGTAGATCGTAAGTAGGATAGTCAACCATGGAGCCAACACCTACTTACTTCAGGTAGACTCGTGTATCGGAACCCCTTGCATTACGCCCAGGGATGGGAAACTGATCACTAATATCCAGTAGCTCATTAGCTAGATATCTCACTAACCTGTAGACAAGACAGTACCTTGTAGTGTAGTTAGTTAACGGCTGGCCAGACTAACTAAAAGATAGTCCGAAACACCGGGTCCATCGTCACATGCGGGCCCTTTCCGCTTGGAAGGCGCGAGAAAAAGGCCAAAAACCAAGCAAAGCAAAGCAAAGCAAAGCAAGCAAGCAACTCAGCACACGATCATTGCATCACCCGCTCCTCTCCTCTCTCTCTCTCCTTATCCTCCCGCCTATTCTCACCCCTCCGTCGCCAACTCTCTTAATCTTCCCTTTTCCTTTCCTTCTTGCCTCGGTCGTTCTCTTCGTCTTCCCTTGTATTATTTAATTTCAACCCGCCTTGAAACTTCCCCTGAACCCGCTCTCTAGTCCCCGGCACTTTCCTCCTTATCTTTTCCTCCCGAAAACCCTCCAGACCTTCCGAAACGCACACACGACTTTCCACCATGGCTGACGTGAGCTACCCCGACACAAATGGCCACAGTAAGGTACGAGCAGTCGCCGGTTTTCGTGTTATGCTGTTTTGTGAGGACGCATTGAAGCTGATTTAGTCTCTGATTGCAGTTCCGAATCTCCCACGCACATGCTCCCAGTGTAGGTTACACGAACTGACCGTTACTCCCTCGCTTAGGCGCACTCGCAAAGGGTAAATAGCTGGCTCCAGACACACCTGCTTCGTGTTTACCGCTCGAAATTGGTGACTTCATGACCAATTGATCTGACATACACTCGATATAGGCCCCATTGCCGAGAACATCAAGTCCGAGGCGTCCCGCACTGGTCAAGAATTCCGCGATTTGAGGAACACTAGCCCTTCATCTACCACTGCGACCGGTCAACCCTTGACCTGTACGTTATGACACAGATCAGCTTGCAGGCGCTCTCTGCTGACCCTGTCCAGACTACCACTCGCTGCTGTACAGCCTTTTGAGCGTATGTGGTCCTGGATGCCGCCAGGCGCGTCACCGTCTAACTGGTTCTTATAGTGGGAGCAACCCCGAGCTACCGCCATCTCCTTCGCGAGTGTCATCACATTCATCTTTGCCGCCCGTTACCTTCCCCTCCTCCGTTGGTTCTTCAAATTCATCTATGTGGTTCTGGGCTGTAGGTTTAATTTCGGGTCCCGCACAGGAACAACAACATATGCTGATCGCCGATTGTACTAGTCACCGCTATTGTTGAGGTCGGCGGCAGACTTGCTCTGTCACAGAGTGTCGTGAGCTCGTTCCGGCCTCGCAAGTACTACACCGTGCCCAAGGAGACTATCGAGGCTGTGTTGGAGGACCTTGAGCAGCTCATCGACTTTGTCCTCATTGAGTTCCAGCGTGTTCTATTCGCCGAGAACATTGTCCACACCATTGCAGTACGTCTAAGAAACACCAGTTACTGGCGACTCGGGCCCTTACTAAAACAATGTGCAGTCTTTCTTTGCCGCTTTCACCGCCTACTGGTTGATCAAGTTCCTTCCTTTCTGGGGACTGTCTTTGATTGCGGTCACCATCGCCTACATGGGACCCTTGGTCTACATCAACAACCGTGAAGTCATCGATGCCCACATTGAGCACGCGCAGGAAGTTGTCAACAGCCAGGCCCACCAGCTAAAGGATCTTGCTGAGGAGCGCACTGCCCATGCCACGGGTGTTGTGAGGCAGTATGTTGGTGACTACAGCGCCAAGGCCCAGGGATACATGCGTCGCTCTGCGACCCCCGAGATGGCTCGGGCACCCGCCCCCGTTGTCAAGAAGGAGCCTGAAGCCGAGCCCGAGATCAAGACGACTGACTTCCCGGAGGCACCCAAGGAGGAGCCCGTGGCCGCCCAGGAGCCCGTTGTGGAGACGATCGAACAGCCTGCTGAGCAGGTGAAGTCGGAGCCTCTTCTGGCAGCTTAGGGAACCGAGGCCTTTGATACAGGATCGGCTAATGGTCGGGATTAGTCGGATGATGGACTTGTGGGAATGGCGGGGTAGGTGCAGGGGTGATAAGAATTGGTAGCAGTGACATCCAAGTAGGATGGATTGGTTGGGTGTATGATGACTAACCGGGATGATGCGTTTCGAGGGTTTGCGGACGATAATTGTATGTTTCTCTGCTGGCTGCGAATTATGCTGCAACTTGTCGAATGTAATCACCGTATGACTTGATTTTCTGTCCGATTAAACTTTATCTCGGATTTAGTGTCTGCACTACGGAGTAGTGACGTAGGCAAGCCAGTCGGGAGTATGTTGATACAGCCTAGCGTTTCGAGTCACAATATATATTGCGCAATGGGTACATGATATAATAATCCAAAAGGTACCATCATGATGTATTTCAGATCCATATGACAACACTCAATGCCTTACTACGAAAGTATCAATCCTACGATAGTTATATTCACGGGGCCGGACCTATGGGGCCTACCTAAACTAGACTGAACGGGAGCGGCAACGGGAACCAAAAAGACTACCACTAGTACTAGTATAGCAGCTAACCCAAAAACACAAAAAAAGAAATTACTGTGCATCATCCGTGAATCGAACACGGGCCTCATCGATGGCAACGATGAATTCTACCACTAGACCAATGATGCTTCTTGATAGAAGAGTTGCACTTATATTGATCTATACCCCAGTAACAGATACAGTGAAACACGCACCCAACCTGGTTCAAATCCCGAATGTCAACAATTACCTACCTAGTACCCCTGAAACCTTCTATTCGATCTTTCACTCCATCTCCAATGATATACTTCTGTATATATATATGCCAAGTATATATACAATACTCTTAGTCAACCCCTACTAAAAGCAGCAATTAGGCAAAGAAAGCCAAGTAATCTAGGTTAGTTATGCTCCCCGCATCCCGACATATTTATATTTGTCACAAGGCAACTAGTACACAGACATCATGGATAAGTGGCATGCAGGACATGAATCAGCAAACTTCAATGCAAATTTCAAGCCGCCAATATAATATGATCGTGCATACACGGTTACGCCACACTCATTACTTCTACTCAATTACGCCACTGAAAGCAGAGACAAAAGGGTACTAAGATGGAAAGGGAAAGAAAGAAAAGAAGGATTGACTGACCCCAAAGGTAAGTAAGTAAGTAGGGAACAATAACTTACACCAAATAGTACTAGTATTCCGAGTGACATCAGTAAAACCAGGTGGATGTACTTAACCAAGCATCGATTCAAACCCCAGAAAAAGAAGCAACATGGCTTAGCTGAAAAAGCTTCAGCCAAGAAAAGCCGAACATGACAGCCAAGTAATCAATATACCGGATCAATAAATAATTGAACGGCGTTCAACTAGAAGCATAACTAGGGATGGATGGATGGATAGATGTACACGCAAGCAGGCTAGTTACCATTTCCTGAGAATGGAAGGAGAAGAGGCCAATGCACGACATCTTTCTATTATCTACTTATCCATCTATCTCTCTGTTTATCACCATAGTGTATAATGTATTTACAGTAGGGAAGAGTACCACGGAGTAAAAGCATCTTCTTACCCCGCGACAACAAACCAAACCAAACCTGTTTCCACTCCCATGAAACTGGGAATTGGAGGGGTTGTTTGTGCCTTGCAAGTGTCAGTTGAAACAGATTCCGGAGCAAGGCAGGTAAGATCTACCAAGATCTGAATGAAGGCCAAAGCACACGGAAGAACACTGCAAGGCATCCCTTGCTTTTTCGAAACAAGATCTGAAGGTTAAAGAGAGTTGGCAGACTTGGTAACTCGGTGCCTTCTTTTTATTTCTCTCTGGAGGTCGAGTTGGTATAAGAGGTGGGTATGTTTCCTCTTCTTCTCAATCCTCTGGGATCATGCTCATGGCCATTGTCTATACTACTGAGCTGTCTTCAGATTCAGGATTCTCCCTTATCGGGGCTGGTTCGATTAGTCTTCTGTATATCGTTATGTACACCAACTTTTCGTTTCAAGTCTCCCACTTTCTGCTCTCCGTTCCCCTCATTATATATGTACCTGAAAATATCGCAACCGAAAAAAGACGAAGAAGGGAAGACAGAACATGTATCCTGGGGTTGATGGTGCTCTCGCCGCACTGGTGAAAATATTAAGTAAGTATTATGGTATATGAGTATGTCCCTTCTTTTAGGCCGTCCCTCCCAATAACCGCATTACATGAATGACGAGGACAAAAGAAACGAGGAAAGAAAGAAAGAAAGATGAAGACACGACCGTCATCACGCCCTGCTAAAACCCCAACCGGACCCGAGAAACAAAGGAAACAAGGAAAAACCATAACAAAGGGAAGAGAAGTCTAATAATTAAAGTAGTATGGATGTGTGCAGCTCCCAAGATCTCCGGAAAGCCCCATAACAGGTAAGGACTGCTGTGCTTGGCTGTGTGGGTAATACTTCATTGAATAAGGATTGGCGTCCAAGGTTGTTGTCGCGGCTGCTGCCGCTGCCGCTGCCGGCTCCTGGTGAAACATGGCTCCCCCGGTGAGGTCGAGAGGATAGTCGCCCTCGCGGTGACGCTTTAGCGGCGCGAACGAGGCCGATGCGTCAGTATCCCATGCTGTAGGAATAGGAGGCTTGCAGGGGTCTGACGCCTTCGATGTGGGTGGCTTTGACGTGAGCGGGGATGTGGTGGCGGTGGACGGGAAGACGGATGTGTGTGATTCGAGATCAGGAATTTCCTTCCTATAGACGGGATTGCTTTCCTTGAGGGTCTGGGTGGGTGAGCCCAGAGTTTGGGAGTCGGTGAGCTCGGGGAGGTGGACGCGGGAAACGCAAATAACGGCGGAGCCATCTGCAGTTGCTAAGTATGAGACATGTCCAAAGACCCAATAGTGGATGGAAGGCGCTTACCTGTTCGACCGTCTAGGTATCGTTCTTCCTCCTCTCGTACGTGGTAGATCTCATCGAGCACGGGGATACGTTCGACGGGAGCGATTTGGCGCCGCACAGACTGGTCGGCTTCCTTCAATTTCTCCACGCAGATAGCGTGACTTTCACGCAGCTCGCAGAGAATATGGACAAGCAGGCGGATACGCTCTACATCCAACGTTAGCGCGACTGATGGACGAAGCAGATCGATGGAAATACGCACCCGCTTTCAGAAGGTGATCCGGTTCGCGGTGAGTGACACCCGCTGGCCACCAGGCTGGCTTGGTCAGTTCAGGGTCAAATTGCTGCGATGATCCGGATATGATCTTGCGTCCATTGTATGGATAGTTGACTTGTTTCCGGGGCTCCACGAGCTTGATGTATGCTTTGGCAAGGATGCGACAGTTGATCTGCTGCAGGCTGTCAAAAGCCTTCTCGTAGTATCTGCGCAGAAGGCCGGTGTTGCGCACGGGCAGCATGGACTTCTGGTGACAGGTGATGCTCATGGGAACGAGGCATTCATGGGATACCCGCTTCCTTTTAGACTGAGGAGGCTCTGTGGTGGAGTGGAACCTGAAGATGATCAGTGGTTGGGTCGCATTGAGATTGAGAAAGGGCGCAAGTACATTTGTTTAGCTGATAGATCGCTGGCGCTGGGAGATTCTGGGGAGAGTGGGCTTCTGCCTCTGATGTCTTCTGTTGTTGTGTTGGTGTCAACAAGGTATCCGTGCGAGACGTCGACAAGGAACCCTACCGAGCATTTTGGATGGATCACCTTTGCCCGACAGTGCCACCGCACGCAGAAAGTTTTCCGTCACGCTGGGAGAGAGGATCGTCTGGCAGTTATTCGCGATGGATTGCGAGGCCTCGAAACGTAATTTGCCATTGTCGTCTATGTAGATGAGGGCGAAGTGCATACAAGCCAGCCCGTCTAATGGCGCATCCATGGACACGGGAGTGTGAGACTGGTTACGGTCAGCTTGCGTTGCCATAACAATCGCCACAGCCATCAATCATACCATGGAAGCAGAAAACAAGAGATTTGAATGTGATGACTCTCAAGGGATCAAGGTATACTTTTCAGTGGGATGACCTGTAAGAGTTCGATCAGGCTTCTGGTCGCAGTCGCGCAGGAGACAGAGAAGAAGCGTGTACAGTTGAAAGAAGTGAGACTCAGAAGCAAGGCACGAGAAGGAGCATTTTTAAAAGAACAGGACTGAGGCAAGAGGCAAAGACCAGCAATATTGCAAAGAGAATGGGGGGAGTGGCCAATAGATCCACTCGCCGTGTTAAGCTTACCGGATCGTCCTCAACCTGGGCTTCAGCTTCGTTTCGTTTCCGGATCCGCGACGCCCCTCATGCAATCTTATATGCGTGCGCGAATATATTTCCTGTCTCTATTAGAAATTATTAAACCGTTGGCTCGCCTCCAGGACCGCGTCCGAAAAGGAAGGAAAAAGCAACTCAAGTTCAGACTAGGCTATAGTACTTCCAGTACACCGTAATGATGGACCGTCGCAACCAGATCAATGGATCGGCCCAAGCTGTGTCTCTAATGTGCGTGGCCCTATGTGGCACAGCAGCCGACGGGTCCTTATCCGCTCGCATGCATTTGGGCGTAGGAACTAATGCTATGCTGCGTCGTTGCTTCCAATCACAGAGCTCGAGAGAGAGGGTCATGTTGAAGTCCGGTCCTGCTGGCAGTCTTGGAATAGAGAAAGTGGCTAGCTATCAGAGTGGATCTTTCAAGAGATTGTTTCGCCACCCCCGGTTGGTCATATTTCGAGATCATAGTCCCATTTCCCCAAGCTGGGGTTCGTTTGGTTGCTATGGAATACGCCTTGTGGATGAATCTGTGTTGTGTACGGAGTAGCATGGACACTACCATTTCAGACAGTCGTGCCGTAGCAGGTTATGCCACCTGCTAGCAAGATTAGCAAGATCGCCTCGAGCCGAGGGTCCAATAGGTCCGCTGGCGCATTAATGGAGGCTGCAATACATACTCTATCTCGTTCGATAGCATGCGGATGTGCCATTCCGTCTGCCTACCTTTTCCCGTTATGGAAGACTTCGTGTCTTATTTTCTCCTATCTACGCGATTGCCTCTTCCAGATATTGCTTTATTCTACCGAAACACCCTCCCCTTGCCTGATGCGTCGGGTGTCAGACAGAGAAAGGTGCAGTTTGTCCATCCATGGTTCGCTCTGAGATCCGACCTGGCTGGCCGGCGGGGCAGACGCTGTCACCAGATAGTAGCCAACACGCCAGGCACCATATCGGATTATCCCGAGAGGGACATTCGTCATGGTACTAGCAAAAGTCAATAGCGGATGGTCGAGTACCGTAGGCCCGGAGTGGCTGGAGGGCGGTTCGTTCTACGTGGACCACCGAATATCTCAAAGCGATGCACCGGACATGCGACGGCACCTCCCACTTCCGGTGTTCACCCATTCGTCAAAAGATTCCCAATGCGGGTTTCCCGATGTGTATACGGATGGAGTCGAGGATCATGAGTTGACCTAGCATTGACAGAGGTGCCAGTCCAGACAGGAAATTATGCGATACCTATTACATACTGGGGTCGGAAAACAGTTGCGAGGCTGCCGTGACCCATAGCGGCGACTATCACTGTTGTACCGCATCATATTCGATGTTTGTTTTTTTCTCCATTTGGATATCCGGACAACACAACGCCATTGCTGGCCATCGTTCCTGCTACCCACATGGCAGATGTCAGGTAGTGACTTGGTCGAGTCTAGATCAAAGGCAGCCTTGCCACATTGCGGTACTTCGTGGCTATAATGAGCTTGCTGTTGGGATGCCCAAGCCAGTGTCCCGAAAACCTGGAGGGTAAAATTACAGCATTACCCTGGATTTCTTGGAAAAGAGTGCAGATGGAAAGAATCTAGAAAGAATCGAATGATTTTCAGCAGAAAAAAAGAATAAAAAGGGAATAAAGAAAAAGGAAAAGGATAATAAATCATCAACAAAAAAGAACTAAACACTCACACAGTACTCCGTAGCTGGACCCTTATGGGGACGTGACGGAGACGGTTGCCGCAGGCCCACCGAGGCCATTGGCCCTTTTGCCTTCGGATCATGTCTGATTGAACGATGGCTGAACCGATCCTGACGCGACGGAAGGGAGCCCCGCCTCTGCCGAGACAAGGTTGTGACAGATCGCGGCCAAAGAACCCACTTGTGTGTGTGGTCAGAAGCAACCATCGGCGAACAGGAGGATGACTGAGCGTACTGGGAGCACCTAATTCGCGATAATCCCGCCAGAACCGAGGAAACCACCGCGGCATGCCTGGCCTGCAACCGAATGTCACAGAGGGCCATTCAAGATAAGCACCTGTCTAGAAAATCCCAAACCCGTTGATGAAGTAGTACGGCCCTATCCGCCTGTTCCAGGTGTCGTTGGGAGGCGGACGTACATCTGTTCGATGTATGATGTGTCGGCCGGCGAGACTGCAGAGAAGTGCATATTGCATATGATACGGTGACCTGTCACGGTGGCTGAACGCCCGACATGCATACCGGAGAGCTTCCGGAAGTAACGAGCAATTTATTAACCTATTGAGTACGGCCGAGGTTCCCTTTTGTCATGGTTTATAAATAAATAACATCGGTTCGACGAGGAAAACTTTGCCGCAGGTGGGACGGAGCCTTCATCCAAAACTATTGTTGGCGATGGCTGCGCCAGAGGGTAGATCATCGACAGATAGTAAGCTGCCAGACAACTGACAGGCAGGCTGCCTGATTGTTCACATGATTCATAGTGTGCGCTCCATCCCCAAAGATGCTGAAGGTTCGGGTCATGTAGGTCAAGTCTGTGCTTCTGCTAGGTTGGTGCTATAATCTATGACAGCTTGGCTATCGAACCTTCCGAGTCCTGGAGGTATATCAATTCCGTGCATCACTATCAGATTAGAGAGGAAGCTGAAAGTCAATAAGCTTACTTACCCTGGTCAATAATGTTTACAGCTCATCTTAATTGCATTGAGGTAATACGCCACGCCACGCCACGGCATGGATGCTGTCATATGTACTTGCCGACATGAATGGCACGAAGCGGAAGAAGTACCCGCGGATTGTTATTCGTATATGAGGACTACTACTTACTGAATTGTGGTGTTGGTGAGTAGGTATGGAGAGAACGAGCTTCTGATTTGTAATTCAAGTGATGGGTCAAGTTGAACTGGACATGATAGGGAAGAATTCCCCGATGTGGCAGGACAAGGCCTCGCAGACGATAGGAGGTGGATTTTCCATGTTTAGTAGATAGCTGGAGGTTGCCCAGTCATGGCAACGCCCGCGTTTCTAGAAAGTTGCCAGTTCTGTGAAGGAGATCCACTCGGGGGTGCCTGTCGGGTGTCCCATAGTTCGTCCTGGGTTCGTCGTACGTTTGTTGAGTTCGGGTTGCTGCCGGGAAGGTATCGCTTTGAGAGGTCATCCCAGAGCGAATGTAGCGGTATGGATGCCGCGTATTGACTACTTTGATAGGCTATAAGCTGAGACTGTCTCTTAAGTAGCCGGATCTACCAACTTAGGACGGTTTATGCATGAAGAGCTTGGGAAACCTCGATCGAGGCCAATGGCCGATCGATGTTGGGGAAAGTGAGAGTATTAATGTAATTCAAGCATATTCACATCTTCGTCGTGCTATCGAAACAAGCCAGTCAACTTAAGAGAGGTCCTTTATGTTGTTCGGAGAGAAGAGTGAGTAGGTGATGGAAGTAAGCTCAGTCAAGTTGAAAGCTGGAAGTCTACTTGCTATAGATGGAGGATGCCTCAGGTACGTGGCGTATACTGGGGTGTTGTGGTATGTTACCTTGACATTGAGCATGTAACAATACGTAATTTTCTGCCAAGAATATAATCATACGCGCAAAAAAATACTATCAATCAGAAAGTTAAACAATACGTTACATGTTATATACACGTATTATTACGACAACCACGATATTCGGACTTGCCCACCTCTTCCTTTTCCCTTTTCCTCTTTTCTTTCTCCTCTCGAGTCACTTCATACTCGGGGAGAAATCGCATTTGATTCTTTTTCATCAATATCTCTCTGGTTCAGGCTGTCCTGCATCACGATCCACCTATCCATTGTCAATCTCTGACCGCACTGGGTGCCTTTCATTGACTTTCTACTACGGTATCTACGTACTAAGTAAGTACTACCGGAGTACATTCTCCCCCCATCCGTCCCCTGTGTTTTCTCTCTCTCACACACTCTCTCCTCCACTCCACCGCCCGGACGAATCCCATCCAGTGCATTAGTCCGTCCGCCCCAAGGCTGATCGCAACTCGACGGGCCAGCAAATCTCTTTCCTTCCTTTCCGTCCGCTCACTTGACTTGACTTGACTTGACTCGACTCGACAACTGCGGTCACAACTGAGGATTCTGACTTGTGACTAACGGATTTACTTTTGCCAGAGGTTACACTAACCCACCCTGACTAAGTTGTTGCTTTCAGGGTCTGTCCTTCCCATCTGCCGGCCCTTCTATTATCCCACACCCCCCTTCTTGAGTCTCTTCTGGCTGTCGTGTCCCCATCGGCCAATCACCGCCCCTCTGTTTCCAGTTTAATTTTATTATTTTGGCCCTTTCATATTACCCTTTTCTATCTCGTCGTGGATCGTTCCAGAAAAGAATATTCTACGGAATTAAGCAGCGCAATCGCCAGGACACTAAGTCGTTAGAGGAATTGGCTTAGTGTCTCCTCCCGCCCATCCCTGGATTCCGGCGAGTCAGAGTGTGCGACCGACATTGACTGTCGCTGCTGCGGACCTGATCCGTGGAAGTTTTTAATTTAACCAGAAACATTAATACCAAAAGAAAAAAAAGGGAAGAAAAAAAAATTAGAGGAGGAAGAGAAAGGAAAAAAGAATTAAAAAATAACGAAAGAAAAAGAGAAGAAAGCTTGTGGCCTGGCCCAACCATTGATTGACCTTCCTCCTGCTCTTATCGACCGACATGGACCCCAACGTTCCCGGATTCCCTTCTGCGATGCAGCAGACCGCGGGTTTTCCTGTCACTCCCCAAAATCCACAGCAGTTCCCCTACTATCCGAATGCCATTCCCCCGTTTCCCCAATCCAAAGCTGTCTCTCATCCTCCACAGCAACAACACCAGCATACTCCTTTCGGTGCCGTGCCCATGCAAGCCGGTCCTAGTGGAGCAATGATGCCGTCTGGGTTCCCCCAGCAGTCATCCGGTACGTCGGGATCTTTCCTTTAACTCCCCTTGGCCTGTTATCTCCAAGCTCTTTTTCTCTGTCGCTACTGTTTCGCTCTTATTGTATTTCTTTGATCTCCCTGAGGCCTGTCATCGCTTCCCCACCTTTGCCCCTTTGATCTACACACGGCTGCTCCATGGCGCCGGGTTCTTTTTCCCATACTGAATCTACTGGACCTTGCCTGGTCTAGTAGTTCAAGTACGTGTGTGTGCTAATGGCCTGACGCGTATCCACAATTGCGCTACGATTGCCCGTCGTCCTCTTCCTTCATGTGTTGTTGTTCGTTGTTTCCTTTTCCCTCCTGGCCAAAGTGCGCAGGCGACGTTGGCCGCAAGGACTAGCCGCTAACCATCCGGATGGACTAGTAGGACCCCACGCCAACTTCTCTGCACCATTTGCCCAGCCACCTGTGCCAGCAACGTCTATGAGCCAGTATCTCCCTCCCCAGGCGACTGCGACATCGACTCTTCCCGCAACTACAGCGCAATCCTTTCCGCCCAACATGGCTTCGGTACCGGCGACGAACATGATGCCTGCGCAACAGCAACAGCAACGGGCAGCGCCCCAGCAGAACCCATTGTCGAGCTCCGCCCAACCTGCTCCTCAATCACCTGCGACGACCGCGCGCGAGAAGGCTCGTGTGTCTACGCTGTTGGACATAAACTCGATGTTGCTGCAGGAAGTCATGAATCTTCAGGCGGCTGGCAAGGCTGGTGCGCCTTCGCAAGGAGCGTCAGAGTCGAATCCGTCGCCTGGTTCAGATCAGACCTCGGATAAGCCCACCCAGCGGCCAAGCGCAGAATATCTCGAATGTATGCGTCGGTTACAAGCCAACTTAGGGTACCTTGCAACCATTGCCGACCGGGCTAAGAAGTCAGGGGGTGTTCCTCCTGCCGCACCGGCGATCATGTCACCGCCTCCGAACATGCCTTCAATGAATGAGATCTACAACAAACTCAACGAGCTCTTCCCTCGGGCCGCGCAAGGTGGTATAGGGACACCCCAGCAGAGTCCACAATCATTGCATGGCAATGGCCGGCCCAGCCCTTCTCCAGCCGTCGAACACGTTGTTTGAAGAGGTCATATCGACAACAAAACATGATGTGTTGCGCGTAGTGCGAGCTCTATGGGGAGCTGAGCGTACTGGCTCAAGGTAGAGAGCAATCGACCGTCGCTCCTGCATCCCGCCTATACGCCCATGGTTGCATGAGGCCCCTGCCCTGACCGGCTTTTCACTCAAGTCAAGCCTCGAGTTACGATCCGACGAGCCTTCAAATGGGCATCGCGCGCGTCTATATTGCGCCACAAACTCTTCTCTCAATGATGAGCCATCAGATGAAAGCCCATAGTCCAACTCAAGGCAGCTCTCTATTTGAAGAAAGAGGTACTTGATATACTGGGTACTTCTAATTTGGGGTCGTGAAGCGTTGCAGTGTACACAAACAGTGTTGGCGACCAAATGGGACGAATATGTGAACATTACCACCAGAAGTGGATGGTAGCTACGAGTGATGGGAGGCGGAGGTCCGAGTGTACGATAGAGGCTGGGGATAAAGAATCGTATATTATAGAGATATATATATTTACTGCACGGTACTGCATTGCTACTATTATAGAAAACTTGTTTATGGAGTAGGATCGCATGAATTGCTGGCCTGAATGATCAGGTCAGAAGACGCCGCAGCTCCGCCGGGCCAGGGCCAATCAGAGGGCGTCAATCGAGGTGTCCGCCCGGTTCCCTTTTCAGTTCTGTCTGCCACTGCAGCTCGCCTGACTTCAGTTCCTTTTCTCCTCCCTCACGGTCCTCGTCATCCGCCCCTCTCTGTTGCAGTCTCTCTTGTTAGGGGGTCTTGTGAATGTCTTGCGTCTGGCTCCACATCCACAGAAGGAGCCTACTGTCTGTCGCTACGAACAATTCTGCTGCGAGGGCCGCTGCCTCTACTTCCGCCGCGCCGCCGCCGCCGTCATCGCCGCCGTCTCGTTCTAATACTTATTCGCCTCTTCATCGCTCTATCGCCAATCCCATCGGATTTACCCTGTCGCCTGCGAGGTCACTAGTTACTCGCAATCCTAGAGTTTCTGCCTATTGGCGCTCTAGTCGACACTTTTCTTTGTGCCCGGCCGCTGCAGCGCCCGGTGTCACCACGAGCATCTGCCCTGGTCAGGCGCCCATCCGCTCTCTCAGCTCGCTCATTATACATTCTACGAGACCCAGTGGTATACGTTCTCGTGCAGACCCGATGGATTTGAACGGAGATGCAGGCGCCAAGCGCAAGCGCAGCTCTATCACCACACCCGCTGAACGGCCCGTAAAGCACCTTCGCCCCGAATCGAGCGCATTGACACCTGGGGATTCGACGCCCGCCAATGGGACGGTATATGATGTGGAGGATGATGAAGATGCGGGTCGTCTGCTGCCTGTAGGGCCTGCTCAGGCTGATTCGCCGGAATGGCAAGCTACCATAGAGGAGGTTGTGAAGAGCGTTGTATCTATCCACTTCTGTCAGACCTGCTCCTTTGACACGGAGCTGTCTATGAGTAGTCAGGCTACTGGGTTTGTGGTGGATGCAGAGAATGGATACATCTTGACAAATCGACACGTGGTTTGCCCGGGACCTTTCTGGGGATACTGCATCTTTGATAACCATGAGGAAGTAAGTTGTGCTCTCTCCGCATGTGGATCTTTCTTGGGACAGGAATGCTGATTCGTATTGGTTACGTTAGTGCGACGTCCGTCCCGTGTATCGGGACCCAGTACACGACTTTGGAATTCTGAAATTCGATCCGAAGGCTATTCGATATATGAAACTGAGGGAGCTGAAACTGCAGCCGGATGCAGCTAAAGTGGGATCTGAAATTCGCGTCGTCGGTAATGACGCAGGAGAAAAATTGAGTATTCTGTCTGGTGTCATTAGTCGACTGGATAGAAACGCGCCCGAATATGGCGATGGCTACAGTGACTTTAATACGAATTACATCCAGGCCGCTGCAGCAGCTAGCGGTGGAAGTTCCGGCAGTCCTGTAGTCAACATTGATGGCCATGCGATTGCTCTGCAGGCCGGTGGTCGTGCAGACGGTGCAGCGACGGATTACTTCCTGCCTCTGGACCGACCGCTACGCGCACTGGAATGCATCCGTCGCGGAGAGTCTGTCACGCGTGGAACGATTCAGACGCAGTGGATCCTGAAGCCATTCGATGAGTGTCGTCGGTTGGGCTTGACGCCGGAGTGGGAGGCGACCGTGCGTAAAGCAGCACCCACGGAAACCAGCATGCTGGTGGCCGAGATCATTCTGCCTGAAGGCCCGGCGGACGGAAAGCTCGAGGAAGGAGACGTGCTTCTGCAGGTAAACGGGGAGCTTCTCACCCAATTCATCCGGTTGGATGACATTCTAGACTCGAGTGTTGGGCAGACAGTGCATCTGCTGGTTCAAAGAGGCGGTCAGAATGTGGAGATTGAGTGCCAGGTTGGCGACCTGCATGCCATCACGCCCGACCGGTTTGTGACGGTGGCTGGAGGCACGTTCCATAACCTGTCTTACCAGCAGTCGCGGCTGTATGCCATCGCTACTCGCGGTGTTTACGTCTGCGAGGCTGCAGGCTCCTTCAAGCTGGAAAACACCCTCTCAGGATGGATCATCGACTCGGTGGACAAGCGACCCACTCGCAATCTCGATGAGTTCGTGGAAGTGATGCGAACAATCCCCGATCGTTCGCGCGTGGTGATCTCGTATCGGCATATTCGCGATCTCCACACCCGCGGCACCAGCATCGTCTATATCGATCGACACTGGCACCCGAAGATGCGACTGGCTGTGCGCAACGACAACTCCGGTCTGTGGGACTTTTCGGACCTCGCGGACCCTATCCCAGCTCTTCCTCCGGTTCCGAGGAAAGCCGATTTCATTCAACTCGATGGTGTTAGCCAGCCTGCTGCGGCCGACATTGTGCGCAGCTTCGTACGGGTATCCTGTACGATGCCCCTGAAGCTGGACGGCTACCCCCAGGCCAAGAAGACCGGGTTCGGATTGGTCGTCGATGCAGACAAGGGTTTGGTGGTTGTATCGCGAGCGATCGTGCCGTACGACCTCTGCGACATCAACATCACGGTGGCCGACTCCATCATCGTGAACGCTAAAGTAGTTTTCCTGCATCCGCTCCAGAACTACAGCATCATCCAGTACGACCCAAGCCTGGTGCAGGCACCGGTTCAGAGTGCCAAACTCAGCACCGACTACATCAAGCAGGGACAGGACACGATCTTCGTGGGATTCAATCAGAACTTCCGGATTGTTGTGGCCAAGACCGCCGTAACCGACATCACTACTGTTTCTATTCCAGCCAATGCCTCCGCACCGCGCTACCGTGCGATCAACTTGGACGCCATTACTGTGGATACCGGACTCAGCGGGCAGTGTTCTAACGGTGTTCTGATTGGCGAGGACGGTGTGGTGCAGGCATTGTGGTTGAACTACCTTGGAGAACGCACGTCCAATTCGCATAAAGATGTGGAATACCATCTAGGATTTGCGACCCCATCTCTTCTCCCTGTCCTGTCGAAGGTGCAGCAGGGAGAGATGCCTAAATTGCGGATTCTGAACATGGAGAGCTACGTGGTCCAGATGAGTCAAGCTCGCATCATGGGCGTGTCGGAGGAATGGATTGAGAAGGTGACGCAAGCTAACCCATCGCGGCATCAGCTCTTCATGGTGCGCAAGGTCGATTGCCCACCGCCTGGATTCAACTCGGCGGCCGACACGTTCGAGGAGGGTGATATCATCCTGACCTTGGACGGACAGCTGATCACCCGCGTCTCCGAGTTGGATATCATGTACGAAAAGGATACGCTGGAAGCACTGATTGTCCGAAACGGACAAGAAATGCGGATCCAGGTGCCGACTGTACCAACGGAGGACCTAGAGACTGACCGTGCCGTCGTGTTCTGTGGTGCTGTGTTGCAGAAACCACACCATGCGGTCCGTCAGCAGATTTCCAAGCTGCACAGCGAAGTCTATGTCAGCGCAAGAGTATGCTCCCCTCCCTCCGGCCTTTACCACTGCCACCTAGGTAACTAACCACCCACTCTACAGAGTCGCGGATCCCCCTCCTACCAATACGGCCTAGCCCCAACAAACTTCATCACCGCCGTGAACGGCGTCCCCACCCCGAACCTGGACCGCTTCTCCGAAGAAGTGAGCAAAATCCCCGACAACACATATTTCCGCCTTCGCGCGGTGACATTCGACAATGTTCCGTGGGTAGTGACTATGAAGAAGAACGATCATTACGTATGCCACAACCCATCCCTCTTTCTCTCTACCAAATCCCGAGAAACGTGGAGAACTAACACTTTTATCACCAGTTCCCCATGTCCGAGTACATCAAAGACCAGTCCCAGCCTTCCGGCTGGCGGACCGTGTCTCACGACAAGGATAAATATAAAGATGGCATTGCGCCGGATGCTGCGAACTTGAACCCGGATGCTATGGACGAAGGGTTTGATGGAGTCAGTGATATCGAGCCGGATCTGGAGTGATTGCAGGGCGGACTGTATAGTATTCTGTGATGAGCATGGCCGTGTTAGATGTGTATACCAGACATGGCTTTTGGAAAACGTAAAAAGAAAGTGAAAAATGGGAAAATGATAGACATTATTAGTGTTGCTTGTGCAGAGGTGTAGATGGATGTATTGTTTTGGGGTGGTTACTTGATATGTAGTGGCTAGTCTACTGAGGTGTGATTGATCATAAGAGATAAGTCTTTGATTTGTTTGATGGGGTAGGTCCCATGACATGCATCTAGTATCATATGTATTAATTGACAATCTGAAACCGAGAGAACGGATGAACAGATGAAACTACGAAAGTATGTCATATCTTTGTGGAAAAGCTAAAAATTCAAGGGGAAATATTTGATTTAGTTGATCAGATTGATTGCACGGGAAATCCATATCCCTTCCACCAATAAGCGCTAAAAGGTCCTCAACCTCATTCTCCGAAAGAATAGTATATCCAGAATGCTGATTGCCTTGTCCCCTTCTTCGAAAGGCACCTGATCACGAATGTGTTCTAGTATATATGAACCCGAGCTTGCTATGTCCGTGTCTGTGCGATTCAGTCAAAGGCGTTATCACTATCCAAGACGGATTTCAATGTGTTGAAGATGACGAAGATGACTGAATCATCACAAGAGGCAGACAGACCTCTGGTGATAGAAAGATAACGTGACAAAACAACCATATAACCAAAAGACTCATCATCGACAACCATGCACTCTCACAGATACGAAAACACAGTATCCAAAAGAGATAAGAAGTGTCAAGATCTAACAGACAATAATCCCTCTTCCAAAGGGATCCACAACCTGCGGAATCGCTTCATACCCGATCATATTCCTATGCCGCTTAACCGCAGCAACGCACAACTCCAACGCCATAAGATCCCCGCACCGTGATGTCGCGATCTTAGAACTAGGCACCAAACCCCCAACCGTCTCGGTCTCGGTCTTAGCCGTTATCTCGTACCCGCACATTTCCACCTCCAAAAGAACTAGCCCCTCCAACTGCCCCAGTTCAGACAGCACATCTTCCCACGTCCCAGCTGTCAATAACACTCCACGGAATGCTACATGTCGTATCGTCTTATGAAAGTGTCTTAGCCCGCGCAGCCTCTTCGCACTAACTGAGACATTCTCGAGTGTGAGAGACCGCAACGGCGCATCTGGATGGACGAGAGATGGACACGACTTGGCAGTCATGTTTCTGCCGTCCATTTGGCCAGAAAGCTCGACTGAGACGAGACGTCGGGCGTGTCTGAGAAGGCTGAAGATTGCGGTTGGTTCGCGCTCGAAGAGCGGCGATGCTGAGGAGGTGTATGAGAGTTGGATGTGGCGGAGGCGGGCTATCACGGGGTGAGGGATATGCTGTGCTGTGGCTGGATGAAGGATATCATTGTCGCAGTCGTAGAATTGGGGAGAGTTGTGTTGGAAGTCGATTTCTTGGAGAGAGGGAGGGGGGTAGGCTTCTAGACAGTGGACGAGGAGGTTGGCGAAGTGGCGGGAGAGGTTCTCTTGGTCTGGGGTGCCGTTTGGTATGGTTTGGTATTCCAGGCGGCGGAGGCGGACAAGACGGGGGAGGGAGATGGAGAGAAGGTTGATCCATTGTTGGATGGTGTCGGGATTAGTTTCGATGTTGTCCCAGGGGGGTCGGCATTCGATGATTAAGGTGCGTATATATTGACCGAGGTTGCTTTGGTGGAGGATGTTCAGGTCCGAAAAGGGACTGTTATTTGTGCTGTCTTTGATGTAGACAGTGCAGGTAGTGAAGAGGGCACGAGAGGCAGCAGCACAGAATGACCGGCTCACCTGGCGAAGGGTCCTGAGGTGCCCCTTGCCATGGTATTTGGAGTTGGCTGTGGCGTAATCGGCGATCTGAAGCTAATAGTTACGATCTGGGTGGCAAGAAGCTGCTGTACTGGAACTTACCCTCTCTTGGATCTCCAGGGGGAGGTGGATGGATGTCTGTGGCGTAAGGGCAGACATTTTATAGTATAAAGATATGGCAAGGAGTTGATTTAATAATACACTGATGATAGGTCCTTGGGACGGGGATTCGCATAGTCAAGGGAGAAGATGGAAGCCCCAGATTAGAAAGCGGGCGCTGATATATAGACCCCCAGGAGTATGCGTATCATGGTGAGGCAGTGACATGGATCATCTAGGGGTTACGTCCAGGAACGTAACGATGCAATGTCTGACTCACCCACTGAATGTTTTTCTGTTTCGTTGACGAGATGATGATGATGCGAAACTGCACTGGGTGCCGTTTGTACCTCATAGTGACTGGCAGTAATTGCATTCATGTTGGGGTTGTGCTGGCGGCGATATTGGATTTTGAGACATGCTGTGCATAGCAGAGAACTATGATTGGATCTGTGAAGGTGTGTTCCGGAACCATATGTTGTCTATAATATATAGTAGGTTGGGACATGTGTTTGTTTCTGTCCCCCCAATGACGTGATAGATGGTTTTTGGTCTACTGGTTAGCGCGCCGGTATAGTGTGATGTCTGGTGAAAGAACAGTCCATATTGACCTCAAAGCAAGAATCACTGAAATAGTAATATGACTGAGAACGAAATAAGCAAGTTGTTGAATTCTCAGATCGTCAATGGGTGGCCTGTGGGGTATATAGAAAGACGTCAACAACTGAACGCAGGATGTGACTCAGAAAGGCTTGTTTCGAGCGAACGCTCAAAGAACTATTGATAAGAATATCTAGGTTCAGTTCAAAAGAGTATATAAGGTAAGTTCCAAACAAATATTGCTGCTGGAACGGTATCTCAAGTGGAGTAAATGGAAGATTTTGTGCTAGTACCATAAAGCAGGACAGTGAACAAAGAATGCCCAGTGTAGCTGCGAATGTGACAGTTGGATATAATGCTTCCGTTGTAGGAAGTGCGTTCATAGTCTAGGCGTCATCATAGGATGTTATATACAACGGCTATCAGCCGCAAAACCTCAGTGGGTATATAATAGAAGAGCCGGTCCAGGCAGCATGTATACATGCTCAACTTTGGGCTCGACTCGAGAATGTCGCGGGACTGATCGCAACATAGGCGAATGGACAGCCGTCCACTCAAATGGCCCTGGCATAACCCAGCGGCTTCCAACATCTGCAATAGACTCAAACAACTGATTGCTTTCAAGCCTCCTTGCGCGCCTTCATCTCAGCAATGAACTTAGCACTCTTGCTGGTCGGCACAATGTAGATCTTCACCAACTCATCCACAACCTCAACCTTTCCACCACTAAGGATCTGTACCAATGGCACCTTCTTGCCAGCGCGGATCAAACCACCGGTAACCGTCTCCATGAAGCATTCCACCGTATTGATGCTGTACTCTCCCTTCTGATCCCACGGCAACGGGAAGATGTAGTCGAGATGATCCTCGATCGAATGCATTTCGGAGAACGCCTTGATGAAATCCGTCTGCGCATCCATGTGGTACAGGAACACAGCCGGGAACTCAAGCGTACTTTCTGGCGACAGCGGATCGGGAGAAAGTCTGATGCCCACGTCCTCCATCTCAGGAGGCTGATCGGTCTTGCGAGTACGGATCTGGCGCGCCTTCAGCGCAACACTAAGCAGCGTCTTCTCCTTACGCGTGCGCTCATCCTCGGCCTTCTTTCTCGCCGCGATGCGCTCAAGCACAGCCTTGCGCTCGCCGATCTTTCCAGCAACCATCTGGAGAGCCTTGTTGTTCGGATCCAGCTTCAATCCCCGGGACGCCACATCCTCCGCCTCGACAATCTTATCCAGCGAAAACAACGCCATGGCGGACCGATAGTACGCTTTCACGTTCTTTGGGTTCAACTTCAGCACGGCTGCGCAGTCGAGGGTCGTAGATCGGTAGTTTTCTATCCACGTTAGCAAATTTCCCCCCTACTTCAGGACACAAGGAAAATCCTACTCAGTTCCAAATGGCAAAGGGCGCGATTGATATAGCATGCCTCCTCGACCTCCCTCCGCAAACGGGCCTCCTCCTTCTCATCTTCAGGCTTATCCCACTTATCCTCCTTGGCCAGCAAGACCGCAATACCCTTGGAGTAATGCTCCTTCGCATCAGCCCAGCGCTTCTCGCGAGCAGCTTCGTTTCCTTGTTCACGGAAGTTCTGCGCGACATCGCCGCGGGTACCCTCGTTCTGGAGCGCGCGGATCGCATCAAGGAAAGGATTTTCGCCGTCTACCCACATACATATCCCGTTAGCCTATCATCCAGCCAAGATATTTCCAAAACTGAAATTAAGGAGGAAAACTGACTTTCATCATACGCCTTGTTAATATCCGTCATGAACAGCGGCGTGCGGTTCAGGATATCCGCCAGCTCGTCTGTCGTGTGCGTGCTCACGGCCTCCATGGCAGGAGGCATTTGAGGCGCCATGGGGTCCGCGCCCGCATTCAGGTCTTTGAGGCGCTCTTCCTTGATGGGGATGGGGAGCTCTTCCGGGGGAGGTGGGGTGAATTCATCTTTGGCTTCGGTCGCGGGGGGTTGAAGCTGCTTGTTGACTTCGAGCGACTCGTCATAGTCGTCGGGGAGTTCTTCTATTTGGCCCATTTTGGTTCAATGTGAGGTTATGAACCTGAGAAGGAGATGTGTTTTGTTTTGGGGTGAGGGGGATTGGAGATGATCGTCATGGGAAAGAGGAATTTGCTGTTATCGGAGATGCAAATCATGCAAACTGGTGGGGAGGGGTTAGCCCTTATCTTATCTGTTGATGGATCAGGTACAGTTGATGGATGTGGTCGTTCCCGATGGGGTGGGATTGTAGTTGTCAGGTAGCAATGATGTGTATTCTTCTCTTCTTTGATTGTAGGATAGTTCCTGCTGGTAGGTCGCATATTGGCGAAGGGTATTGCAGTGTACGGCAGATGCCGTCAATTCTAGATGATCCGGACACGACCCTACAAAGAGGATCGTTCATCTAGACAAGACCCCCCACAATGGATGAAGAGTGGCTACAAAACCAAGACATGGTAGACCAAGAATGGTCAGGTGCAGTTGGTGCTAGCTGGTTGCGAAATTATCCTTCCTAAATCAGTTATCGCTGCGGAGAACACCTGGCTTGGAGGGAAACTTGCGACTTGGGTAGGGTCATATAACGGGAAGTAGAGAGGGTCAGGTGAATGAAAGCAATGAAACGATAGACGAGTCCTCAATCTCATTCTCTTCAAACTATTGTGATTCACAATTTTATTCACTTCACAATACATTACTTACGGAAGCCACCGACACAGCCATCTCCACTCACTGACAGCTTCAATGAAGTCTCATATGTCTTTCACAGGTGTAACTTTAACCACCATGTCATTTGATCTCTACCTTTACTTTGATGGGAGTATCAGTCCAAAGTTCTCGGATATAGAGTATAGCAATGATTATAAAAGGTACCTTCGTGACACCCTCAAGTACCTGCTACTCCTTAGTAGTGAGCACATTATTACCACTCAGAACCCTAATATCACATCTCTTTGTTTCTCTTGTTTCTGCTGCGATAGCTAGTATATCCTAGTATATCCTTGCGTTATATTAGGCTATCCAGTATCCCATTCACATCACCCGTCCCAGTTCTGTATCTGCACAGCCACATACACAACTGTGGCATTCACTCATGTCTCGCAACTTCCACCCCGTCAACGCCAACTCGCCCTCCACCACTACTCTCACCTCAGACCCCGACATTAATCCTTCCCTTGAAGACAACAGCAACAATAATACCATCATCCAACCCTACCTCTTTCCCCCAGGCGTGCCTACCAATACCAGCTTCAACAGCAACGATCAAACCCTCGTGGACAACTGCTCCAACATTGAGGTCTCACAACTTGTCACTGAGGCAAACCGCTTCTGGGGCAATTGCTCAACGACCATCCCCAACATCGAGACAGGTCCAGCCGCAGAATACCCAACCACATACATGATGGGTAATTATGACCATGGCTATGGCGATCAAAACATGCACGAGACATCCGTGCCATACGGTCCGTGCGACCACTTCCAGGTGGCCGGGACAGGAATAGACATGGGAATGAGGATGACTGGCACAAAAGGGGAGGACGAGGATGACATGTACAATGCCAACCAAGCTTCAATGCTTGCCGCGCTGGGCATGACTCACCTTGATGAGGGAGAATCTCATGCAGTGGATGATGATGCCAAAACTTCGTCGTCGGTTACAGTTGACGATGATCCCGAGTGGAAGGAGTGGAAGAATTGGAATGAGACGGACGCGAATGGGGGAGTCAGATTACTTTCGGAAGAGAGGATGGACCGAGCAGGTGTTGCTGCTTGGTTGGATATGAACCGTGAGGAGGACCACGGGGTCTTCCAACATGAAGAAAGTGATGATTATGACGAAGACGATGCCACATCTTACGGATCCGACGATGACATGATGGAAATGGGGGAAGAGACGGAGTATGAGGAGGAGGAAGAGGAGGTTGTCAACGTGGTCGAGGGCCCTTCAAGACAGGTCCTTATCAGTTCACGGACAGGAGCTGTTGCCGAGTACGATACAGCAAGCTTTGGATGTGACTTTGAAGAAGAAGAAGAAGAAGAAGAAGAAGAAGAAGAAGAAGAAGAAGAAGAAGAAGAAGAAGAAAAGCAACAGAACGAAGAAAGATGGGGAGGAGACGGACAACCTCGTCCCTCCCCCTTCCCTTGCTTCTACGACGCTCGATCGGGGCTTATCATCGAGCTTTCCTCATCTGAAAGTGACGCCGAAGAGACCATGTCAGATCCCTCTTCCGACAATGATATCGAAGAAACCATGTCAGACCCATCTTCCTCATCCACCTCTTCCTCCTCATCACCAACCTCAGAAGCCCCCCAAGCATACGCCCTCCCCTGGCCCACCTCACCGTCCAACTTCAGCACTACCACTACCACTACCACTAGCAGTACCAGCACCAGCACCAGTACCCCATCAGAGACAACACCACCACCATCATCACAACCCGTTCGACCCCCATCATCCACGCCCTTCACCCTCCTCGCCGACCTGCACACCAACCTCAGCAGCGCCCCGGACCACCGCGCCACACATCTCCGCAACCTAGCCAACGAAATCTCCAACACGATGTACTTCGTCAACAGCCGGACAATCTCCGGGGACTTCAGCGCGGAGGATGCAGCGCCCGTAGACCGGGTAATGCGGATCGTGCGCGAAGGGGAGTTGAAGATGCGGTACCAGGAGCGGTATGAGCGGCAGAAGGGGAAGCTGGTGAAGCGGGAGAGGAGGGTCGCGGAGCGGGAGGACCGCGTGAGTAAGAGGGAGGAAATGGTGAGCCGGCGGGAGATGGGGGTTGCGGGGTGGTGGGAGGTATGGAGGGAGAGGGGGAGGGAGGTGTGGGAGGGGGTGGAAGGGGAGATGGATGGGGGAATTGGGGATGGGGATGGGATTAGGAGGAATGCGATGGATACGTTGCAGAGGACTGTTAGGGTTACGAGGGAGGTTGTGAGGAGGATGGATAGGTTGATTGATGAGAGTGAGGTCGATGGTGATGGTGATTGTGATGTTGAGGGGGGAGTTGAGTTGTGAGGTTGGGAAGTAATTGCCAGATTGATTGATTGATTGATTGATTGATTGATTGATTGATTCATGGTTATAAGAGTAGTCTCATGTTGGATATTAATGGTGTTATGGCTCAATCTATCTATATACTCTCGTCTATCAATCTAGATTAGATTGATTAAGATGACGATGACAACATTATCGGAAGTCTCTTTACAAAGTAGAGCTAGTGCCGCGGCGAATTTAACAGGACAACTCATTGCTACATCACCTACCCCCAAGCTAACTATGCAATCTACGTCTACGTAGTACGCATGCAAACTAACTAGTAAACTAGTAGTAGCTGTAGTGTAACCCCCCACAAAGGTCACCAGCCATCTCAGCCGTAATCAAAAGCATATCAAGTATCAACCCACCGAGATAACACAACCACCGAAATCCGAGACTAAAGACGACCAGCAAAGAGATAAAAGGGTCAGATACCCACCTCCCTACTGTGTAAGCGCCAGGGGCAAAGTCCGATAACCGGTGTTGGTACTCCGTAGAAACTTCTTCGAAGACCGTTACCGTCCCCACTTATTCCCACTTTTGTTCTCTTTCCCACGTTGTAACTTTTTTTTTTCACCCGAGGTGACATCAGCTCAACGGTCAACCTTAATCCTGATCCTTGTTCAGGAAAACCTTCCCAAATCACTCTGGGAAGCCCTTTCAACAGGGGAACAAAAAGGGAGAGAGGAAAGGGAAGCCTCTGGGGTGAACTTTACCGATTCTTCATGCATAGTGGCTGACGGCATACACTTCAACGGCCCGTCCTAAACAGCTGCTAATAAGCTTCCCGACGACGATCATCATTATGACAGATACAACCGCCGAGATGGCCTCCTCAGACAGTACACTCGAAGGCACACTTTCGCGATCCGAATCCATCCGCTCAGCCGTTCAGACCTTCTCGCCTCTTCATGAGCTCGTCTTCGTCTTCGTGGTCTGCATGTCGCAGTTCATGACGCAGGCCGCGCTCGGAAACACCCTCGCCCCACTTGAGATCATCAGCGACAGTTTCGGCATCACCAACCCTGGCATTTCCAGCTGGCTGATTGCAGGGTATTCCCTAACTGTCGGTACCTTCATTCTGTTCTTCGGTCGCTGTGGCGATATTTTCGGATACCGTATCTTATATATCACCGGGTGGATCTGGTTCGCGATCTGGTCTCTGGTGGCGGGGGTGAGTGTATATTCGAACTACATCCTGTTCATTTTTGCGCGCACCTTGCAAGGCATCGGGCCTGCGATGCTCCTTCCTAATGGCCTGGCGCTGCTGGGTGCGACGTACCGACCGGGAAAGAAGAAGTATATGGTCTTCTCGCTCTTCGGGGCTACCGCGCCAAACGGCGCCGTTTTGGGAGCCATCTTTGCGTCGCTGTTTTCCCAGCTCGCTTGGTGGCCGTGGACTTTCTGGGCCATGGCAATCTATTGTTTTGTATTGGCGATCATGTCCTTCCTTGCGATTCCTCCTTCCCCGTCAGTTGCGCGGAGTATGTCGCTGGCGCAGCTGGTGTCTGAATTAGACGTTGCCGGGGCATTCTCTGGAGTCGCAGGCTTGGTTCTGATCAACATCGCGTGGAACCAGGCGCCCGTGGTGGGATGGCAGGAGGCGTATGTGTACGTCCTGCTAATCATCGGAACCCTGATTCTAGCCATGTTCTTCGTCTGGGAGATCAAGTACGCGGCCAAGCCACTCATCCCTTTCCACGCGCTGGATCTCGACGTCTGCTTTATCCTGGGCTGCATTGCATGTGGCTGGGCCAGTTTCGGAATCTGGGTCTACTACTTTTGGCGGTTCCTGGAGAATATCCGAGGCATATCGCCGTTGCTGGCATCGGCGCAGTTCATCCCGCCGGCCTTGTCCGGACTGACGGCCTCATTCACGACGGGACTCCTCATGGCGGAAATGCGGCCCGGCTGGATCATGCTGATGGCCATGGTGGCTTTCACCCTGGGTAATATATTTTCGGCTATCGCTCCGGTTCATCAGACGTATTGGGCGTTGTCATTTGTAACGCTGTTGGTCACTCCGTGGGGAATGGACATGTCGTTCCCTGCGGCCACGGTCGTCTTGTCGAATGCGGTCGGGCGTCGCCATCAGGGTGTTGCGGCGTCGTTGGTCACGACGGTCGTTAATTATAGCATCTCGCTGGGGTTGGGCTTTGCGGGCACTGTCGAGGTGCATGTGAATAACGGTGGCCAAACCTTCCATGATACGCTTAAAGGGTATCGCGGAGCCTTGTACATGGGTATCGGACTGGGTGGGCTTGGAGTTGCCATCAGTGTGCTCTATCTCATCAAGAGCAGATCGAAACCGGGCCAGGAGGAGAATCGGCTGGAAAAAGCAGCTGAATGATTGTGTTTCATCATTTCGATAAGGATAAAGATAGAGCATATATAATCCGGCGTGCTCATTATAGACATAGCCACAGAGCCCGCCTGCATAGTGGCAATTCCAAAATACTATTCAGTTAACAGATGAAATTGACACTCAGCGTATGACAGATGAGCCACCATATTGTAACGGAATATGCGAAGGGGATAGCAGTCATTCCGGGTGATCTTATGGCCCTCGGCCCTCATTATTGCGTGCCCATAATCGCAAGTGCAAACCTTTGTATCGTTTATTTTCACTGCGCTGCTATTCGCAACACGCTAAATCAGAAACGCGCCCTCTCCTTACTGGCATTGGACTATTCAAATAAGTCTGCAGATGCAGAACCAATCAAGTGTGCTGCTCTGCATTGCTCGTGATCACTCGACAAGCCTAGAATTCCGTACGCCCGTCTAGGCGGGAGCAAAAACCGGGAATTCAAATTCCGAGGGTAACGGCAATTGATTCAACTGAAGGAGCCAGGATGGCGAAGAACACACATCGGTGACCTCATTTCCTCCATCCAAGTGCTGGGATTACCACATGGTCGCAATCTCCTCTAGATAGCAATGAGAATACCAGTAAATTGCCTCCCTTCATATGAAGATGGGTCGATTCATCGCTGCACCGTAGTGAGCGTCCAATCAGCGAATCCGATAAGCAATAATCGGACTGGGAGCAATAGTTCCAGCGAGTTCCCAAAGACGGGTCCAGTTCGCCGCCCTGGCGATGAACCTCGGCACTGGCACTGGCCCTCCATGAATTCGGGCCGCGGATCCACTGGTCGCCATCCCTTCATGTGTCTTGCCAACAAAAGGAACGCTCCTTATTTCGTTCTCTTTCCCTATCTCTGGTAATTAATTCTTTTCTTTCCTAATCCCTAGTCACCGTGTTCCTGTGCTGCAACTTTTGAGGAATTTCCAGCATCGCGTGAACAGTTTTCACATCCCCTATCTCCGACCCACCGCACTACCCCAGACGACCGATCTATCGGCCGAGATGAGCAGCCCGGGCGATTACAACGCCGTCCGCAAGGACATTGTCGCACAACTGAAGAAGCCAGACTATGATGATGGAAGCGCAGGCCCAGTATTTGTCCGGCTGGCATGGTGAGTCACCTCTAAGCTGAATGTTTTGCATGTCAGTCGCCACTAACCCCTGAGCAGGCACTCCGCGGGTACCTACGACGCCGAAACCGACACGGGCGGCAGCAACGGTGCGGGCATGCGATATGAAGCAGAGGGGGGCGATCCGTCAAACGCAGGCCTTCAATACGGTCGGGCATTTTTAGAACCTGTAAAGGAGAAGCATCCTTGGATTACATACTCCGATTTGTGGACGTTAGCAGGCGTGGTGGCGATCAAGGAGATGGGCGGGCCGGAAGTCGAGTGGAAGCCAGGTCGGACGGACCTGGTCGACGACTCCAAGGTACCGCCTCGTGGCCGTCTACCTGACGGTGCTCAGGGTGCAGACCATCTCCGCTTTATCTTCAACCGGATGGGCTTCAATGACCAGGAGATTGTGGCGTTGGCGGGAGGACACAATCTAGGTCGGTGCCATACCGATCGCAGTGGGTTCGAAGGTCCCTGGGTGAACAACCCAACACGATTCTCCAATCAGTTCTTCAAGCTTCTATTAAAGTTGGAGTGGACTCCTCGAAAGTTGGCGAACGGCATGAGCCAGTTCGTATATGAGGACCCTGATGCGGAGGAGGGAGACGAGTTGTTGATGATGCTGCCCACCGATATAGCACTCAAGACGGACCCATCCTTCCGACAGTGGGTGGAGAAGTATGCAGAGGACAAGGACCTGTTCTTTGACCACTTTGCGAAGGTGTTCGCGAAGTTGGTCGAGCTGGGTATTCGACGAGACGAGAAGGGTGCTGTTCTCAACACCGACAATGTTAAGGGAGGTTATATCTCTGCTCCCAAGAAGAGTAACACGCCGACAGGACCACCGAAGAAGCCGAAGGCCGAACCTGTGCGGGCCAGGCTGTAAATACGCGATGAATAAATATTTGGGAGGATCATGATTTGATATACCATAGAAGGATTTTAGAGGACTGGATAGAGACCGAAGCGTGTACATTGGCTAGAGTAATAAATCTCAAGTTCATTCATGACGAAACGAAGAAGCCCGTCCTTTCAGAGTAGTTGAGAGAAAGAAGAAAGCAAGGAGAGAGAAAGAAGCGAGGGAGAGACATAAAGAGAGAAAGGGAAAAAGGCCGGGGGATTCAATGAATGCGGGGAAAGGTCCATGCGCTGACTTTGGCCCGGCCGTCATTGGCTCCCACCGGCATAGCTGGTAACGCGTTCACCTTGAAACCAGCCCAGTAGCCGTGCTAGGTTACTCCATACCATCCTTGCTAGTCGGGAGGCTAGAGGTTCTAAAGCTGCTCGGTTATTGAGAGAAAGGGTTATTGTGCTGGTATGACCTAGTTCCTTTCCCCTTTTTATTATTCCCCGGATTTCTGGGCCAGGATCCGTTCTCTGAGTTAATATATGAACTACCACCGCTGAAGACGGCATTCTACCCATGAAAGTATTTCGGACAGTACTATATGTTTTAGTTATTGAATCTGATGCAGTAGTAAGTGCGTTTTGAATTTTGA